TCAGCTCCTTCTCCATCCGGATGACCTCCTTCTCTTCGACGTCGATCTGCTTCTTGCGCTGCACCACCTCGATTTCGATTTCCTCCTGGCGAATCTTCTGCTGCTCCCGGGCGCTCTGGAGCTCGTAGGCCAGCTGGGCCTCCGCTGTCTGCACACGGGAGAGACGAGACGGGTTTTGGCCTGGGCGCAAGCGTCAGGACCCTTGGCAGGTCCGGAAACCAGCCGTGGCTCCCGCTCTGGACCAAACCTCCACCCAGAGGGAACGTTCCCATCCTCAGAGCTGCACCCGCTGTCCTTCCCTACGTGCTCTTCCCACGGTACTTGAGCCCAACCTGCTCCGGTTTCAGCTTAAATGACCCTCCCCATCTTCCCACTCCCCTTAATCCCACCTGATTTGCAAACAGGAATCTGCTGCAAGGAGCTCACACTGACAGCAACCTGTGTCCTCCCCCTCCAGCTCCCCTAACACACGCAGGAGGAGGAAGCTGGCAGGTCCCAGAGCCACCAACGCCACGGGAAACCAGCCAGGGAACAGCGCTGGGCTGTGGGATACCTCTCACCTTAATGTTGACCTCCTCGCTGAAGGCGGCTTTCTGCAGCTCAAAAGCCCGTCTGGAATCTGCTATTTTGGTATCTGCCATGAACTTGACATCCATCATTTCTTTCTTGCACTCTGCCTCCTGCGGAGAGGAACCAGAGCTCTAGGATGTGCAGCTGGAGCAAAGCGGGCCGCTCTGGGCAAGCCCAGCCCGTCTCCGGACTCACCCGAATGCCGGCGTCTCGCTCGGCTTCGGCCACGCCGATGTCAGCATCCCTTCGGACAGCCGCCGTCTGGGTTTTTCCCAGGGAGCTCAGGTAATCCACCTTATCGTAGACATCCTGGAGAGGGGAAGAGACGTCACAACCAATTCAAAGGAGCGACTCCACCTCGCTCCCTTCAGAGCAACGCGTGCGGTTAGGCCAGGGACCTGCCAGCCACGCCAGCCCACACCAACCACAACAGGGAGAGGTGGCCTCTCCCGACATCTTCCGACTGCCCGGAGGCTCGGATATCAGCGAGCTCTCTCCGTGAGCCGTGTTTACAGTGGGCGCTCCTCGCTTGGAGAGAGGACACGCCGCGGCGGCTGGCATGGAAACTCCCGGAGGGGCGGGGCCGGTCAGCTGGCCCGGGCAG